TGAAGGTAACGCCATTCACCAGAATAAGAAATGAGGTAAACGTGTTGCACTAGAGCAAGAACTGGGGGGAAACAGTCAACAGAACAAGGATAGAAGGGAATATGGCTCACCAGAACAAGGATAGAGGGGAACGTGGCTCACCAGAACAAGAAATTAGGTGATTGCTGGGTCACCAGAACAAGATTTTAGGGGAAAGACAAGAGCAAGAGGTATGAAGGAGCAGTAGTCGACATAAAACAAGAAATAAGGGGAAGGGGGTCACTAGAACAAAAAAAAATAATGGGAAAAGGATGTGTGCAAAACATTATTATTATTATACAGGACTTGTATAGTGCCGACAGTTTGCTCAGCGCTTTACATTATGGAGGGAGACCGTACAGTAACAATACAGTTCAATACAAGAGGGATTAGAGGGCCCTGCTCCTTGGAGCTTACAATCTAGGAGGGAGGAGATAGTGGTACAAGAGGTAATTAGATGTGGGGGATGGAGTGGTTGGGGGAGTAGGGGATTCCAATAGTTAGCTGGGGTCAGGGTAGGCTTCCCTGAAGAGATGAGTTTTCAGAGTGCGCCTAAAAGTAAGCAGGGAAGATGATAGCCTGATAGCTTAAGGTAGGGAGTTCCAGAGAATGGGGGAAGCCCGTGAGAAATCCTGGAGACGAGCATGGGAGGAGGAGACAAGGGAGCTAGAGAGTAGGAGGTCTTGCGAGGAGCGGAGAGTACGGTTTGGGTGGTATTTAGAGACAAGGTCGGTGATGTAAATAGGGGCAGTGTTATGAACGGCTGTATACGTCAGTGTTTGTGTTTTGAATTTTATCTGCTGGGCAACTGGAAGCCAGTAGAGGGATTGGTAGAGAGGGGTGGCAGATACAGAGTGGTTAGTAAGGTGAATGAGTCTGGTGGCAGCATTCAAAATGGAATGGAGTGGGGATAGCCTGCGATGAGGCAGGCCAGTGAGGAGGGAGTTACAGTAGTCAAGGCATGATATAATAAGGGAGTGGATGAGTTGCTTAGTGGTTAGGAACGGACGTATCTTGGAGATGTTGCGGAGGTGAAGTCTACATGTGTTTGTCAGTGATTGGACCTGGGGCTGAAAGGACAGATTGGAGTCTAGGATTACACCTAGTACCCTGGCGTGAGGGGTGGGATTGATGGTAGTGTTGTTGATCTTGATGGAGAAGTCGGGGGGGGGGGGGGGTCACGGGCTGGGGGGAATAGTAGGAGCTCAGTTTTGTAAAGATTGAGTTTGAGGAAGTGGAGTGACATCCAGTCTGATATGTCACTTAGTAGGCTGGTGATGCGATCGGAGACTGAGTTGGTGAGGTGAGGGATAGAGAGATTTGTGTGTTGTCGGCATAGAGATGGTAGTTGAAGCCGTGTGAGTTTATCAATTGGCCAAGGGAGGAGGTGTAGATGGAGAAGAGGAGGGGTCCGAGGACAGAGCCAAAATGCCAAAATAGCTTTGGCCATACTTCTGTGGATCACAGCAGTACAGTTCGTTCTGCACTCTTGTGACCCGTTTTCAGCAGACAGTGGGCTGAAGCATGCTGTTGGCTGACGTCGCTCAGCTGGTCCAGACTGGGGAAAGATCTCAACTGCAAAGTCAAGATCCACCCAGATACCTGGATCGGCAGCTGGCTCGGCCTCTCAGTGAGCCATTGAGAGCCTGATCCAGCCGCTCCCACCCCTCCACAGCCCAACGCTCCAGCGAGTGCTTGAATGGCAGAGCAGAGAGCTGGGGACAGGCACTCACTGGCTCACTGAAGGCTAAGAACTGAGTGATCAGGGGTCTTTTATCACTCACTTCTATGTCTTAGAAGAGGCAGGGGGGACACACAGCATCAGACCGATCCTACATCCATCTTGGTGAATAGAATTTAAGAATACAGCAGGTACAGATAATACCCGGTGATCTGCCAAAAATGCAGAGTTCCCAGCACTTTCAGTGAGCTTAAAAGAAAGTACAAACATCCTTCTCCTTATTGTGTAAACTACTCATCCCATCATTTTACCATGTAATAGAGATGAACAAAGGCAGACATGTTTGGACTCCAGTATCTGTGGTAACCATGGCTGCCCCCCCCCCAAGATACAATGCAGAAATAAGTGTGGATGTGAAGGGACAGCAGGTGTTATTTGCAGGATTACCAAGTGAAAATAACCTAATGCAGCCACCACATTTAAGGACTGTTAAGCTGCAATATATTGCATGTTCAGTTTTGGACTTTAAAAAAGAACTCCGGGATAGGTAAAAAAAAATCACTCCGTACACCCCCTACACAAAACACTAAACCGTTAAAACAATTTTGAACATCCTTACCATTATAGAGAAAAGACTAATTGAATTTTTCATGATCTCATCTCTGTAATTCCAAAGATAACAGCATCTGCTCTGCCAAGGAAGAGGTGTAACAGCAGGAATTACATCATATCCTCTCTCTCTGCAGTAAATGGAATTTACAGTTCCCATCAACCATAGGGAATTTTAGTGAATGTGGGTGGGTACACTAGGCTTGTACATATTAAATGTGTCTGGAGTCTCGGTTTGCCCACCACTGCAAGTGGGGCTGAATTACATCACTGCTTCCTGGAGAAAGAACTACAGAAGGGATGTGCCAAGACCAGTGGCTGGGGGAATAGGAGGCATAGCAACCACTGGTCTTACAAACCGGAAACCAAAGAGAATTAACAGTTTGATTTGAAAATGAATAGGCTATTTCAAAGCAACTATTGGGTGAACCAGAAGATGGATGACATATTCAGTGATGGTAGGGAATCCGCAACAAGGACATGTACAAACATGTCCGGAGTTCTGCTTTAAATACACTTTAAATTGCCCTGAACTCTGATATCTCATCCTTGATTTTAAATTGCTCAGTTATTTGCCATTAACAATATGTTCTTTCCTTTCCCTGCTGCATGGTCAGTGTCAGAACTCATGTTACAATCAGGTATAGTAATCCACTCTGATGGCCCCATATGTAATCCTTTTTATGTTGTGTATGTTTCATGTTAGTCTTTTTAAGTTTAATAATTGCATTCACGTACTTTGGACTTTCTAATAACTTAAAAGAAAAAAAATAATAATGCTGAGTTTTGGACCATTACTGGTTGCAGCCAATCAGTGTAGTTCTTAGTTTCTTTGCTCTGCTTGGAAAATGGAGCTGATGTCTGACAGGCTAACAGAAAACAGTACAGATGCATGTTGCACAGTAGGTTTGGTTGGACTTTGATTTTCAGACTGATTGAATGCTGCTTTTCCTTCCTAGCATCACCAAGAGTACTGCGAAGCATGTGTGAGAATTATTACAGGTACGCCAAGCCCAGGAAAATCCGTATCTGCATTGGTACCTGGAACGTGAATGGCGGAAAACAGTTCAGAAGCATCGCTTTCAAAAATCAGACTCTGACCGATTGGTTACTTGATGCTCCAAAACTTGCTGGAATCCAGGAGTTCCAAGGTAACCAAGGCCCTGTCTTGATTCATACATTTGGGTTGTATAACAAACAAATTCCTGACAACCACTGCGACCTGGTAAGACTTCTTGGAGCGCTGCTCCAAGTGCCGATAATCCTGCTCAGATGATTCACTACTTGGAGGGGTGCAGGTGTGAGACTGCTCATCACATAGCAGAAGCAAAAGAATGTTACATCACTTCCCCTTACAATGTGAAACATGTCACTTTCACACCTGCGAATTACGTAGTGTTTCCATATTTTTTGTCCAATTTGTATAAAATATCCATACCTGGAATTACAAGCAGTGTTTATTTTAATTAAACAGAAATGTGTGAAAATCTTATTTAACCACTTTCAGACCGGACACTTTTTTACCACCTTCCTGACTAGGGCAATTTTCAGCTTTCAGCGCTATCACACTTTGACAATTGCGCGGTCATGCAACACTGTACCCAAATAATTTTTTAGCATTTTTTTGACACAGATAAAGCTTTATTTTGGTGGTACTTATTCACCGCTGGGATTTTAATTTTTTTTGCTATGTAAATGAAAAAGTCCAAAAATTTTGAAAAAAAGTGTTTTTTTTTAATAAAATTTTTCAAATAAATAATCTTTCATCATAAATCTTGGCCAAAACTTATTCCGTTATCTTTTTAGTAAAAAAAAAATCCAAATTAGTTTATAACCAAAAATTATAATTTTTAAACTTTTTTTTTTTTTTTTTTACATTTTTATTTTATTTTTTTTTTTTATATTTTTTTTTTTTTTTTTTTTACATACTGTCATCCTAGCAGTACAGTGTCACCATGGTGACACTGTACTACTTGTGGGGGGTGATGAAGATTTTTTATTTTTTTTGCTTTTACACTGATTGCTTTTACACCCATATAGGATATAAAAGCAATAATTTCTCTTTCTCTCTGTCTGCATTCTTGCACTCATTGAGAAGTACTGAGTGAGCTGTGATTGGTCACAGCTTGTCACATGGTACAGCTGTTGTGAATAGCCTTGTACCATGTGACCTCTGTGATCATTCACAGATTTCACATGTAGTAAGCAATGATGTCACAAGTGATATCTTGCTTACTACTTTGCATGTGATCACTGATTGGCCAATCAGTGATCACATGATCGGGACCTCGTACAGAAGTCCCGCCCGACGATTGTTGTTTCACTGTGTCCGGGGAACCAGCGGGCACCGGATCGCGGTGCTGCACGCTCCCAGGGAGCGCGCACAAGCAGGGTGCGGGGAGGCCATTTATAAACGGCCACCCGACCCTGCACTGCTACCGTCCGGCCGTTTATATGCAACGGCCGGTCGGGAAGTGGTTAATTCCCTCTAAACCATCTTTTTAGGGCATAGGAGAGTCAGACCCACCGCGTTTCATAACCCAAGTTTTCACCATAAATCAGTGTTTTATCTACAAATTAAGGGTTTGTTCTTTATAATTTGAAGACTGTTAACTCTATACTTCCTAAAAGTTCTTCTTTTTGTTTTTTTTTGTTTTTTTCTAATATCTCAGATAGAAGAAACAAGCCAACAGATATATTTGCCATTGGCTTTGAGGAGATGGTTGAATTGAATGCAGGAAATATTGTCAACGCAAGGTGAGTTTTAGAAGGCTAAACCCCAGTCATTATTCCTCCATGTCTCAATGGCTATTAAAGGGTTAGGCATTCCGGGACGGACCAGATTGATTCTGATTGGTCAGCATCATTGCTGTAATGGCGCTGACCAATCAGAATCAATCTGGTCAGTGCAGGAAGCACTGACGGAAAAGAGGGAGAAGAGCCAGGATTTTGAAACACGGCACCACTGCACCAACTGAAGGGGTGCTGACGACTCAGTGATCCCAGGGGCATGTACCACAAGGAACAGCGGGGGGGGGAAAGTGTCTGAAAGTTCATCTTTACAATTTTTTTGTAAAGGTGAACTAACCCTTTTCGCTTAGGCGATCGCAGCGGAAGTGGGAGCGGGTACCTGTCAAATTCGAGTACATGCTCCCCAAAGGTGCCAATCCTTAATGGAGAGCGGCGGACAAAGGCTTAAAGCGGAATTTCCCCTTTTGGGTGGAGCTCCACTTTAAAGTGATAGCAGGTGCCCTGCCATGTCTGCTTAGTATGGACTTTTAAACCTTTATAATAGCTGACAAGTTCACTTTAAAGAAAAATATTAAATTTCATATCACTATTGGTGGACTGTTAACCTCTCACCCTCTCACATACTTGTCAGATTGATAATAGTGATGGTTTAGTATACTGCGTGTGTCTTCCAGCACAACCAACCAGAAGCTGTGGGCTGCAGAGCTTCAGAAGACCATATCCCGGGACAATAAGTATGTTCTGCTGGCATCGGAGCAGTTGGTCGGTGTATGCCTCTTCATCTTCATTAGACCCCAGCATGCCCCTTTTATCAGGTCAGTCATTCTATATTATTGGTTAGTGGTCGTATAAAGCTGGAAATGGGCAAGTGATGTAATAGGCAATAATTGGGCAATGAAGTGATATTTGGTACCATTGAACATTGAACTTCCTCAAATTTACCTGCTGGGATTTTACAATGTGTTTGCACTGCTGCAATCTTTTGCGCCACTTATTCTTTATTTTCAGAAATATTAATTTGAAATATTGAAGCTCCAAAACAAATGTAGCAATAAACCAACCTGGCAGGTTGGCCTTTCTGGAGACGGTCATTGCTCACTTGCAGCAAGCAGGCTGGAAATCGAGCTGTTATGTATTTTTCTTCTTCAGTCTAATGTGTGCCATTGTCTTTGACCGTTCTGATTACAGGGATGTTGCAGTGGACACGGTGAAGACTGGAATGGGAGGAGCCACAGGAAACAAAGGTGCAGTCGCCATCAGAATGCTGTTCCATACCACCACCCTCTGCTTCGTCTGTAGTCACTTTGCTGCTGGACAGTCTCAGGTCAAAGAAAGGAATGAAGACTACAATGAAATAGTTCGCAAGCTAAGCTTTCCAATGGTACCAATCCCAAATTCTCAAATCTCTGAATTTATAGGTTGCTTAGCACACAGTTGTATAGGCAGTAAGGAGCTCGGAGTCCCGAGATGATCAGTCTTTGATGTGGGAGACATAGTGTGGTTTCCTTCAACTAGATGGACATGTGTGCACATGCATGTTTATATTATTAAAACAAGGAAATTAATGCAGCCACCACATCTAATGATAAGCTGCAATATATTATTGTAGATTTTTGGGTTTAATACCGCTTTAAAACTGCTTTTATTTGGTTCCCATTTGCTGGCAAGTAGAGTTAAAGTGTTACTAAACCCACAACAGTAAAATCAGTCTGTATATGCAGTAAAGCATGCTTGTTATACTCACTGCATTGTGTAAAAACGCGGTTTAATCCTTACTTCTCTGATCCTCCTCTTCTTCCAGTGTCCCCCTCTTATCTCCTGATAAGACATTTCATGTGGATTCACTCTGCACATGCTCAGTTTGGTGTGTATTGCTAGAGAGGTTTAATTTTTTCTTGGGAGTGTGCATGTGATCAGCACAGGACCAATCAGCATTGTCCAGAGGTCAGGGGTTCTGCATCCTCCTAGAGCAAAATGAAAACTCCTACGAGCTTTAGCCAGTGCCCAGTTGGACACTGCTAGAAGTCACAAGACTGCTCTAACTGCTGATGAGAAAAGGTATTTAGCAGTTTATATTTACTAAAATAATTGCATTTCCATGTTGTGTGTACTGTGGGAGAGCAGATATAGAGAAATGCAGGGTCCGGGTTTAGTAACACTTTAAAGCTTTTTTGGCTACACTTCTATGATTCACAGGAGTGCAGTTAGTTCTGCACTCCTGTGACCTTTTTCAGCTGAAAGTAGGCTGAAGCCTGCTGTCAACTGATGTCACAGAGCTGGTCCAGGCTTTGAAAAGATCCCGACCATATGGTTGGGAGCCACCAAGAAGCCTGGACTGACACCTGGCTCAGCCTCTCAGCAATCCGCTGAGAGGTTGAGCCAGTCCTTCCCACCCCCTCAACAGCACAGCACTCCAGTGAGCGAACTGAAAGTCTCAGCTCTCTCTCTCTGCTCAAAGGGGAAGGGTAAAACCTCAATATCAGTCTTTGATCGCTCAGTTCTCTGTGCAGAGGTGGCAGGGGACAGATGTAGCATTGGATCAATGCTGCATCCACTTAGGTGAGTATAATGGGTTTTTTTTGTTTGTTTGGTTTTTTTAATCAGCCCTTTTCTTTCAGTACTTTTTTTTTTGGGCAATAAATACATAAACTATATGAAACTCTTGCTCTTTGCCTCCCTCAACAGTGACTATATTAATGTCAATCCCTGTGCTCACTTCTTTCCCTTGTTTCTGTAGGGACGGATGCTTTTTTCTCACGACTACGTCTTCTGGTGTGGCGACTTCAATTATCGCATTGATTTACCCAATGAGGAAGTGAAGGATCTGATCCGAAACCAGAACTGGGATTCCCTTATACCTGGAGATCAGCTAATAAAACAAAAAGATGCTGGACAAGTATGTGTTAGGATATTGTACATGGAAGTACAGATGCCTGTTGAATGATAGGAACCAGAGTCATGTCCAGGACATTTGTTCACATTCCAGCTTTATAGAAGGGTCTCTGTTTTACCTGTGCACCCCCAGCCACTCCATACTCGAAAGATAACGGCCTGTCATATTCAGGTTTTCAAGCCATCACTTAACCTAAATGAGCTCTCACTCATCTTACAAGCTGAGAAGAATCTGTTTAATTAGATGTATTTTGTCATTTGAGTTTATTGGATAATGCTCATGTGAAGATTCTGCCTTCTGCTTCCTAAGACCATGTGCAACTGATAAATAACGAATCATTTTTATCACATTCAGGTTTGAAGCCTTACTGACTGGTAATTAATCAGTAGGAGTGACTTTTGCTTTAAATCATTTAATGTTTAAATAATGTTAGAGAAGATCAACAGAGACAAAGCTGACTGGTTCATTTTTTTGTGCTTAAAAGTACATGCAGTACATTACAAGATGATGGCACTGAATTTCTTGTAGGTCAGAAATGTTTACTTTTCTCCTGAGGGACACAGAAAAAGATTCACTTTTTGGGTTACAGTGCCACCTACAGGTTGATGGGACACTGTCAAACAAAAGAAAAAAAAACTAGGCCAGCCCAGGATAAAGCCCTCCTACTACCAGCATGGTTTGCTATTGTCTCAGGAGGATGGATGGCTTTTCTACAGCCATGGCCTGAGCAAGCTAACCCATTTGTGTTTACTATTCTTTTTTTTTTTTTTTTTTTCTGCGTCAACTTTCTTTTTCTTTTCAATCAGGGCTTTCTCTACAATGCTGCTAGATCTGGGCTCTCAGATTGCAGCGATCCACCATGGCTGTTCTCGACCTGCCTTTAGTGTGCCTTGTCTAGACCCTGCTGGACTAGATGTTGCCGTGATAGCCTGAAAGTGACCTTGGAGCTAGAGGAGTTAATAGCTTCTGTTGTAAAAAAAATTTCCAGAAGAGTTACCACCCCCCTACACCCTCCCTCCTCCTGCTCCTTTATTGAGAAACATTGGGTTACAGGCAATGAAAGGAAAGAAACAATCTGTGAATGGGGAAGAGTTTAAGGAGTACCCCATTCATCTTGTTACAGGCATTGAAACCAATGAAAGAACATTTCTGAATGGAGGAGGATGGGGCAGGTCTTTATTCAGTACCAGATGTTTAGAGTTGGGAAGAGGACAGGGCATCCCTGCAGTGAAGATTTCTACAGGACCCAGCTGCCTCTATAACCTGGGACATACTTTATTGCAGTTAAGTTGAGTCACTAAATTTTAGCTTTAAATTCCTTTCTTGGCATTTATTTAGAGACAATTATGATCTTGCTCTTGTTACTGTTCAAAACTGAGGCATGCTGTGGATTATCTTGGGCTGGCCTACATTTTTTTTTGCCAGTGTTCAGTCCTCCTGTAGGCAGTAGTATAATGCAAAGGTGAAACACTTCCTGTGGATACCAGTGCATTCGAAGAAAAGATCATAAATCCTACGGTATACAGCATTTGCATTGAGATGGCTATATTTGTAATCAGAGTTTTTCTTTCACCTGCAGGTTTTCCGGAGTTTCTTAGAGGGAAAAATTAATTTTGCTCCAACCTATAAATATGATTTGTTCTCGGATGATTATGACACAAGTGAGAAGTGCCGTACCCCAGCATGGACGGATCGTATCCTCTGGAGAAGAAGGAAATGGCCCTTTGACAGATCAGGTGATCAGTTATATAGCTTGTATTTACACCCTTTTGAAGAAAAAATATCTGCACTGTTAAAAATGTGTACCCAGTTGTTATGGTGGAAGTAAAGTTTGCAATACTTACCTCTGCTTCAGCAGTGCAAGGTCCCTCACCATCTTATTCCTGGTCTTCAGCTGTCCTGGTTAGCCAGCACAGGATGATGTCAGTCCTGCACGTGGGCAGGAGTACACTCATCCTGGGCAATCGGGCACTGTGCTGGAATGCAAACCAAGCTGCTCATGTGCAGTTTAATGTTCATGCTACAGATAACTACGAACAGGCAGGTATGTTTATGCATTGAGAGACAATAGCCAGTTCTGCTGCAGTAGTTAAGTTTTTTTTTTTTTTTGCTTCAATCACTAACTAAAAAACACAACACAGTGTTTGTTTGTTTTTTTTTTTTTTTTTTTTTTGTTTTGTTTTTTTTTTTTTTTTTTTTTTAATAAATGTAATATTTATTTCTTTTATTGATGTGACTTTTTTAAGTATAACTGAAAGTATAACATAATTTACATTAGTCATACCAGCCTTAGAGGATGCTCAGTAGTCAAATCACTATTTATGAGCTAGCACACCATATTTCTTAATTTTAAAAAGTGAGTTATTTTTTTTTATGAGTCCAATAAAATTTGAAAATGACAATCATATGGCTGAAAATAGAGAGTGCTTTGTGCTAGTGGTAAAGCTTTGTAGACTAATTTCAGTAATTTAGACTAATGTAACCTAGTTATTTATTTCTATATTTGCTGTTTTTGAGATTCCTAGCAGCACCAGTTGGCAGACAGAGCAGAGTAGCAGCTAAATCAGACCATTAATCTATCAAATTTTGTCCCGCTCCTGATGAATCAGCCAAAATTTACTTTGTGACTATTTCAGGCACCTTCCACCTGACATCCTCTGACACAAATCAAAGGAGCCATGTAGAAAATTGTTGGCTGCGTCCGATCAAATACTGCCAGCGCTGGCTGTCAAAATGCAATAGCTGCATTTTATTTATCCATGTGCCTTGTATAGCCTGGATGCAGGAATCCGTTGGGTCATTTTTGTTTTGTTTTTTGTTAGACTTTGTGTATACTGTATATGGCCATCCTAATAAAGACACTGCAGTCTATATCCCTTGTTAGGATTGGGCAACATGCATCGTGTGGCCCTAATGTCAGGGTTTTTTTTATTCTTCATTTCTAGCTCTGTGGAGCCACACTGCTAACAGTTGGTCTACTACCAGTTATTTACAGGGCAGTATGGCAGAACAGTGGGGAAGGCTGGGTTTGCAGACATCTACAACACTGTATTATATGTTTTGTAATTTGCTTTTATTATACAAATGATCTGAATGATGACTTACCTGACTTACGTTCCATGTACTCCTTGCTGCAAAGGCCAGTTTATGGGTTGGGATGGTTGCCATTTGTTAGTACACCTTTTCACCCCTGTGTGCCTTTTCGCTTCATTCCTCTGTGGCTTTTTCCATTAGAAGAGAGGGAGGTGACCTTAGTGATGTTGGCTTGTTTCAGTGTTGCTGCTTGCTTCACATAGTAAGGGAACCCATACACCATTCATTAGTCATTGTAGAACTATAGGCACATTTTTGGGGAGTTTTTTTTTTCTTTCACTTTTGAAATGGTAAACAGGACAATAGAGAGAGCGAATCTTCCTAATGGGGGCACA